AGAGCCGAGATCAGTAAGGAGTGCCCTGCCCCTGAGCCCGGAGCCCCGCAGTGGTGGTGGTGGTGGGAGCCGGGCTCTTGGGGCTCCCCTATCCCCACATGGTTGTCTGCAGCCACTGTGGGGAGGAGAGAAGCAGATCCAAGGACGGCAGGGAGGGTGGGGCAGGATGGCTGGGGGAGCAGAGGGCAGGGGGAGCCATGAGTACCTGGTTCAGATTCAAGCGAATATAGCCAGTGTTCTTGGGGTCCATGGATAGAAAGTATGCTGTTTGGGAGAGGAGGCAAGGGAAGGGGTTTGAGAGCCGAGTCTGGGGTCTGCAAGACCCAATCCCAAAGAAGCAGGAGGTCAGAAAGGGCATCGGAAGCTGTCCCTTGCTGCCTCCAGGCTAACCCTCAGCCCAGGAAGGAATTAATGATAAGAACTCCAAGCCTCGCCAAGAGCCACACACAGAGCGTCGCCATGCGTGAAACTCATATGTTCTGTGGCTCCGTCCTATGAGGGCAATACTGTTACTGCCCACATTTTATAGATGAGAACAGAGGACGGAGGCACAGAGAGAGAAAGCGACTTGCCCAAGGCACACAGCCAACAAGTGGTGGGGCTGGGATTTGAACCCAGATCGTCTGTGCCCTAAAGAGGGGGATGGTTTGGGAGCAGGGCTCCTCATGTGGGCGTGTGGGAGGCGGCCAGTGGTCCCCGACCCACGGTGGGGAGTGGGCAGATGACTGACTCACTGAACATGGCCTTGAGCCTCAGGAAGCAGCTGATGAAGCTGTCAAAATCCACGATCATGTTATCGTTTGCATACCTGGCCACCAGCACCTGCATCACCTTGTTATTCAGCTTGATGCCTGGGAGAGAGAGGAGTGCGGAGGGGGAGTCCAGCCTCCTGGCCACCGCGTCCTCCCTCGCTGCCCCCAGACCCTCTCCCCTGACCCCCTGCTAACCTGCTTTCTCAATTGCCAAGCGCATCTCATAGGAGTTCAAGCTGCCTGAGTTGTCCTCGTCACACTCTCGGAAGATGTCCTGAAGGGATAGACAGAGGGGGTGTGCATAGCACGGTGGTGGAAATAATGAAATACTTCAGTATAGTTAACCTACAAGGACTACCCAAGACCCCAGCGCTGCCTACCCTGGCCCCCGCCCTGAGCGCCCAATATTCCTGTCATCTAGTGACTGTAGGGGGCCTCTGGCAAGGGGAGGGGGCTAAGACCGGAGTCAGGGGTCTGAAAGACCCACTCCCAACTGGGCCCTCTGCACCAGTCCTTTAAACTGGTGATGCCTGGACTATACTGGTTGTTAATCTGACTAGCTAATGCACCAACACTCCAACAGATCCTGTCCTGTGTGTGTGTGTGTGTGTGTGTCTAGTCAGGGGCTCCAGGTTCTAGCATCGTCCTTACTAATCCCCATCACTCTTGAGGACCTCCCTTTCTCCCCGCCATAAACTGCCCCTTCAGTGTTTTTTACCGTCCATTTCTTGATTTTTTTCCACAGGATCTGGAACTCCAGAAGCCCTAGCTTGCCAGAGCCATCTTTCTGGGGAGGGGGTGGTAGTCAAGGATGCCAGAAGAAGGAGTGAAGAGGGCATCTTGGGGCCAGGGAAGCAGAGAGGCTCGCCGAGTGGGAGACATGAGACCCGGGGATCTTGTGTGGTCACTATGGTAACAGCCAGAAAAGCTGGCATCTTTTGCTACCTCAGAGCCTGTTCCCCAGCAGGAAGGAGGGCATGACTGGCCAGAGCGATGGTCACCTGGGGGCCAGGCATGGGGGTAGGGGTGAGGGGCGGGAGAGCACTGGACAAAAAGATACATCCATGAGGTTGACCATACAGCGGCACACATCCAGGCCGAAGCCCTGGGTCCTGAAGTTTCTGACTGTGAGGGAGGGAAGGGGCAGGAAGAGAGAAGGAGTGAGTGGGGCATCGCAGGGGATGCAGGGAGCGGCCCAGGGGGGGTGCAAGCTGCAGGAGAAGGGTTGTGAGTGGCAGGGTAGGGGGGGGTGGAAGACTCACATTTGGTGACCACCTTGTTGAGCAGCTTCTGTAGCTCATACATGCCTATCTCCTTGTCCTAGGAAGGGCGACCATAAATACCAGCTCTGGCACGTTCCCCCCATCCACCTGCTTTGGGTGCCCAGTCCTCGGCCTCGCACCTCTCCTCCTGCCACTATCCCAAACAAATGTATGAAGTCCTGGTCTACGTCATTCTCACAGAACTTCTCCTGGAGGGAAAGGAGTGGGAAAGGGACCCAGTCAAGAAAGTTCCTTCACATTCCTCAGATGCTTCCTCTGGTCCCTGGACCCCACAGCCTCCCCTCACCTCCTGGAGTAGCTCAGCACAGTTGGCTTCATCCAGTTCCCTGCGCAAAAGTGAAGGAAGGTTCATGGTTATGCGGGATCAGGGAGACAGGGAATTTAGTGGGGTGCTTGTGGGGAGATCATGTCGTGTATCTGAAGCAGCGTGGAACAGGTTCCATGGGATCTGGGTTCTGATTCTGGCTTGCTACTGAGACTCCCCTTCCGTGTGCCTCAGTTTCCCTGACTTAAACTAGGGACAGAGTTGGGGAGGACCAGATGACGGCCCCCTGAGCTTGACATCTTACAGCTCTTGGGCAGGTGGTCTTGGAGCGGTGAGGTAGGGCTCCTTACCAGGACTCGCTGTGCTTTTCTGTGAAGACCCGTAGCAGGAAGTCGGCATCTCTGTGTGGCTCAAAGGTGGAGGGAATGATGACATATTCCCCCGGAGGCAGCCGGAGATGACTGCTCACCTCCCGCGAGTTAGTGAAGATCTCTGAGAAGCCATGGTCCTGATACTTTATGAAGAAGTCCTTCTTCAAGCGAGTATCCTGGATGTTCTGAAACTATATGTGCCTTGGAGGTGGGTACAGGGCTGGCATGTGAGTATAGGCAGAGAGAGGGACCCCAAAAGTGAAGCTTACTTGGGCAAGTCTCCGGGGGAGGCATTACCACAAACTGACCCGTCCTGGATACCACCCAGCTGGCAGGTAACCAAAGTATCTCCTGCCCGACTCCCTACTCTTTGATCTCCTGCCCTGACTCCCATCCGGGGCCCCAACGCAGTAGAATCCTAACCCAGTAGCCCTGAGACCCCTTGGCTGAATTCTACCCCTTGCCCATCCACATGCAGCCAGAGGTGGGGCAGTGCCTGCCCAGAATCAAGCCCATGTCTTCTGTACCTCCTTTGGGACCTAGGAAGAGAAGAGAGAGGAAGGCCAAACTCCCAGGATGGTGAAAGGGCTCAGGCCTATAGAAGTCAGGCAGTGTGTGTGTGTGTGTGTGTGTGTGTGTGTGCACGCGTGCACATGTGTGTGTGTTGGGGGTGTTACAGCGGGACACTGGTGGTGGTGGGGGGCATAGGTTCTGACAGCCAAAAGTCCTAACGTTAACATTAATAATCCCTCAGTTTTGGACAACAAAGCATAGTTTACACAAAGTTTTGCCAGGGGGAGGTTTTTATCCCTGCAGGTCAAGGATAGGAAACCGAATCCCAAGAGGTGAGGTAACGTGCCCAATTTCACACTGCTAAAAAGTGAAAGAGCTAGGATGAAAGTCGAGGAGAGCGTTTTCCAGAACACGAGCGTTTTCCATGGAACACTTGTATCCTGCAGTAGTTAACAGGTGATTATTGAAACTGGCCATTGAACACAAATATGTGTGTAAAAAGATGAGTTAAACCAAGATAAGTAGGTTGTAAGGGATCCTGGGTAGCTCAGTCAGTTGAATGCCCGGCTCCTGATTTCGGCTGAGGTCACGATCTCACGGTTCGTGAGTTCGAGCCCCACATTGGGCTCTGCGCTGGCAGCACGGGGCTTGCTTGGGATTCTCTATCCCCTGTCTCTCTCTTTCTCTCTCTCTGTCCCTCCCCTGCTGTCTCTCTCTCTGTCTCAAAAATAAATAAAATAAACAAAAAAGATTAAGTGGGTTGTTGCCCCGTAGGGATGACAAAAACCCATAGCTGATGCCCTGTAGAGCCCCAGGTGGGAGGTAGAGTATATACCTTTCCTGAAGGACCACAGCTAACCTTGGAAATATATATATATTTTAAGTGTCTTGAGTGTTTCTTTATTCTTTAGACAGAGAGAGAGAGAGAGAGAGAGAGAGAGAGTGTGAACGGGGAAGGGGCAGAGAGAGAAGGAGACACAGAATCTGAAGCAGGCCCCAGGCTCTGAGCCGTCAGCACAGAGCCCGATGCAGGGCTCAAACTCATGAACTACAAGATCATGACCTGAGCTCAATTCAGACGCTTAACCGACCGAGCCACCAGGCACCCCTAACCTTGGAAATATCTTCAGGCATGTCTGGTGTCTGTTAACCTGGTGGGCTCCCAGCCTAGGAGGAGGGCAAGGCTTGTGTCTCTCTTTTTTTTTTTTTTAAGATGAAGTATCTTATAATTTTTAAAATGTTTTTATTTATTTTTGAGACAGAGAGAGACAGAGCATAAGCAGGAGAGGGACACACAGAATCCAAGGAGGCTCCAGGCTCTGAGCTGTCAGCACAGAGCCCAATGCGGGGCTCGAACTCGTGAACTGTGAGATCATGACCTGAGCCGAAGTCAGATGCCCAACCGACTGAGCCACCCGGGCGCCCCTTGTGTCTCTTTTTGTTCACTATTGGACCAGTGGAGATTGGACTGGTGGCTGGGTAACTATTCGAACAAATTGTCATTTATAGGATTTCGCAAAGCACAATTTCAGAAATGTGGTCAGGGATATCTCTTGGCTGCTGGAGTCAACGCTCTGGGTGGTGTGTCTGGGCGGGTGTGTGTGGGGGGGGACACCTGGGGACAATGTGAAGTCTCAGAACATCTGGGAATCAGGACATAATCTGCTTCTGAGCCTTGGGTGTGTGAGCTTGGGCAAGTAACCTCACCTCCCTGGCGCTCTGTCTCCTTCCTCTTCTTGGAAGGCGTTACTATTCATTAAGGCCTCTGGCAGGGTCTTGAAGGGGGTGAGGCCAGGAGAGGGAGCAAGAGTGGCTGGGGGAGGTGGTGGAGCACCCACCGAGTAGATGACAAATCCAATGGTCTGCAGCTGGGCTCCGAGGGACCGTGCCCGTCGCCAGTTCTTCTGCATCAGGGCCACCAGGCAGGTGCAGACAACTTCGTCGTCCTCTGGGTCGTCATCCCCCTCCGGGAGAGAGATCCTGAACTGGGGGTTGGTCCAGAATGTGTCTGTGGAAGAAGCAGGTCAGCATGGCTCTGCCCTTCCCAGGGTGGACCGGCTTCCCGGCCACACACCTGCCTCCTCGGCGGGGCCTCGTGGGATCTGCCGGTCCCCTGACCCCTTCGCGGACCCCGAATCCCCTCACCCACCGGGGTGGTTCCTGCAGCCCCCCGCAGTGCTGCCCCGCCGCCAGCTGCCCTCGCAGAAGGTGGTGTGCCAACAGCCCCTGTCGTCCCAGGAGAGCGTGTCAGGCGTCAGGTTGCAGATCTCCAGGAGTGTGAAGTTGTCCAGGAAGTCTTGGTAGGACATCCTGTGGTGGAGGGCGCAACGGCTAGAGCCTGTGGCACCGTCACACCCGGAGGCTCCCCCTCAGAGCCTCCCCATCAAAGGCAAGGGTGGGAGGGCGGCAGAGGAGATGAAGGGACGGGCGTGGGGGCAGAAGGAAGCCCACCCAAGCTGCACTGACCAGAACTCCCCATCCTCCCTCTTCTGAAGCAGCTGTTTCTGGGTTTCTGGGGCCACTTTGTCCCACTCGCTGGCACTGGATCAGAGACAGGAGGTGGAAGGAGAAAGGCAGGGCTCAGAAGGTATTTTGTTCCTCCCCAAGGGATTCCCTCCCCGCTGAACTCCGGCCGCTGGGGGTCCTGAGTTAGAGGGAAAGACACTAGTGGGGAGGGGCTGGTCCTGGGACACCAGCGGGTCCATCTGTGACACTGCCTGGCTCGTGGGCCGGCCGTGCGCTCTGCCTCTCACCTGACAGTGCTGCTCAGGGGCACCTACTTGTCACTCCAGGCTCCATTCCACTCGATCCGGCCCCAGGGATTCCGGACCCGAATCAGGGTTTCCGTCCTGCCTCTGTAGAAGACCTGGCAGAAAGGATGTGGTGACAGGGGTGTGGCTGAAGGTCCGGGGCAGGAGGGACTGTCCTCCTTGTTCTGTGTCTCCAGGTAGGGTGCCCTTGGCAGACTCACATCATGGAGGCCGGTCACGGAGTAGGCGTGCCCTTTCACTAGCATCCTCTGGGTCATGGCCTCCAACTCACTGTCGCTGGTGACCTACAGAACAGAGAGGAAAGAAAGGAATTCAGGATCCGGTCCGATGCACCAGGGCACCCGAAGAGATGTGAGCACTCTTGGGGTCCAGGGGTTTTTTTTTTAAGTTTATTTATTTTGAGAGAGAGAGAGAGAGACAGAGAGAGAGTCAGGCAGAGGGAAGGAGAGAGAGAATCCCAAGCAGACTCCGTGCTGTCAGTGCAAAGCCGGACTCAAAACTCCATCCCATGAACCGTGAGATCACGACCTGAGCCAAAATCCAGAGACAGACGCTTAACCGACTGAGCCACCTAGGTGCCCCCTGGATGGCGCAGTCGGTTAAGCGTCCAACTTCGGCTCAGGTCACGATCTCGCGGTTCCTGAGTGCGAGCCCCGCGTCGGGCTCTGTGCTGACAGCTCAGAGCCTGGAGCCTGCTTCCGATTCTGTGTCTCTCTCTCTCTGCCCCTCCCTTGCTTGCACTCTGTTTCTGTCTCTCAAATATAAATAAACATTTAAAAAATCTGTCATTTCAAGCCTGCCATGTGAATGGATTCGTACAGTATGGAACTCTCTTGGTTTTCCCCACGCAGCATAATTCCCTTGGGATTCACCCAAGTAGTTGCATGTATTGGTAGTTCATTTCCTCTTATTGCCAAGTTATATCCCATGGCCTCTGGGCACCGCAGTTTAACTATTCACTCCGTGAAGGACGTCTAGACTGTTCCCAGTTTCTGGCTACTATGAACAAAGCCGCTATGAACATTTGTGTGCCGGCTTTCATGTGCTTGTAAGTCTTCGTTTCTCGGGGTTACATGCCCAGAGTGCAAAGGCAGGGTCGTACGGTTCCACCCCGGGCTCGTTTATTTCTTTGAATAAATATTTGCTGGGTGTCTGTTGCATATGCCAGGCAGCATCCTAAGTCCCAGGATCCGGCAGTGAATGAGACAGGTGACTGCCCCCATGGAATACGAAACTGTCGGGAGAAGATAGGCTGGGAACAACTATATTGATAAGTTAAGACCATTTCAGATCACAATACATGCTGGGGAGAGAATAAAAACAAAGTAGAAAGCAAAGGGAGGTAGAAGCAGCTGATTTAGAGTGGGAGGTAGGGAAGAGAGGCCTGAGGAAGGGGCATTTGAACTGAAATGTGAATGAGAAGGGGCTAGTCGCGCAGCTACCTGGGGGAAAGAACCATCTGGGTGAAAGCAACCGCAGGTACAAAGGCCCTGAGGCAGGACCCAGTATGGCTTACTTCGATGCAGCAGCCCATGAGGGAGGATCGCTCTATGGCCTTCCTAAGAATCCTCAGCAGGTTCCGAGGGGGCTTCTGGAGTTGGAGGCTATAGGTCACGCCCCCTGTGAAGTCTTCAAAGCCCTCTACTGTGTTGCCCCCCGACAGAGCTTCATAGGACCCATTCAGCCTGTGGGCACAGAGAGGGCACTTTTATGCTCTGGGTTAGAGATGCCAGCTTGGACACGAGTGGGTGTGGTGAGGGCAGGAAGGGATGCCCTGACCTCCATCTGCCTTTTCCCCTGAGTCAGCTGCCCCCATAGCTGCCAGTTGTCGGGCAGGCTTGGAGGCAAGCCCAGGCTTGGGGCACTCACTTGGCATATGCCTTCTCCAGCAGGGCACTCCAGAACTCAGCGCGCTCAGCGGAGTGCACGAACACCAGCTTGCCATTCTTTGTGGGCAGCCGGTCATCCACCACCACGTCCATCCATTGTCCAAACTGCCAAATCTGTGGGCAGCAAGGTGGACCTCAGTGGGGCTTAAGACACGTGTGTGCCCCCGGCCATCCTACAAGCACATGCGTGCGTGTAGGCACACACCCTCACACCCACCCCACCCCCGCTGCCGTATATGAGAACTGTGTTACACGAGCACCTCCTGGTGGCCAGGATCAGTGACACGCCAGTGTCAGAGAGCCCACTCCCCAGAAGGGCTGAAAAGTGAGTGAAAAGCTATGAAAAGCCTGAAGGTCACCCCAAACCTCATCTCCAGTTTCTGCCTTGGGCCCCAGAGGGACCCCACCCACATTTTGACCTTGGCTGGGCTTTAGGATTTTAAATTTGGAATTAAAAAAATTCTTTGATTCTCAGAAATATTTTGCGACACGGGCAATGTGTCTGCATGTCGCTAAGTTTAAAGAGCAGATTACCAAAACTATGTGACAGCGACTCCCAATGTCATACACACGCACACACATTCACACACACGCGTGTTTCTACCAACAGGAAGAGACAGAGAGGGAGAGGGAGAGAAGCAGGAGAAGGAGGGCCACCAACAACAGATCATTATTATTTTCTTTGAGGGCTTTAAAAAATTAGCTTACGTGATTTCTTTAGTGACCAGATATTTCTCTGATAATTAGACAAAAATCCACCCTAATGTCATTTTTCACAAAGAAAAAATGTAACTTCAAAGCAAATATAATTCCTCTTCTTCCTCCCTACCCGCTTTGTCTCTGTCTCTGCCACACATACACACACACACACACACACACACACACCACAAAACAACTCTGGCTTTCAAATCATCCTTCACCTGAAAATGGAAAATGCCTGCATAGTTTTTCTTGAAGCTCTGCCCCTTGGGTACCACACGGTACAGCAGTTTGGGGCAGGTGGTGAGGGAGCCAATGGCAGCCAGCAGCCAGCAGTCCCCTGGAAAGACAGGAAGGGGGTTGCCTCTCCTGTACTCCCAGGAACTGACTCCGTGGCCCCCTCCCTTAGCCTTGTCACTAAGAAGTGTTCAGGAAGGAATCTAGTAGGGAGAAACAGGGCTGAAAGAACAGGCTCTGGCAGGGGGGCGGGGGAGGTGAGCCTCTTTACCTTCTGTATTACAGAAGAGATTCACAAATTAGAGCTGGATGCTTTTGTTTTCAGATTTGGGGAGGAGGTATTTGGCTTTCGTCTTGCTTCTCACTCTGGGATATACTTTCTTTGGGAAAGAGCCAGTTTTCTACCCCCTCCCCCCCCGCCCCCGAACAAATCCAGTCACCTTTCCCCATGCCCTGCACCCTTCTACGCCATGATTACATTAGTGTAGCAATCAAGACATCTCTCCCTGATATCAGCCACGTAACACCAGACACCCAAGGGGCTTAGTCTGTAGCCCAGCTAGGTCCCCAGGGCTAGGCATTGATGGGGCACAGGGGCAGTAACTCTGGTTTGAGGTCACCCATCGAGTTCTCTCTCCTGGGTATCTCAGATGTCCTGGGGTGGCCGTGGGGCAGGGTGGTAGCCTGAGTGAGTGTCCTGGGCCAGGCTGAGGCTGAGGGGCTCTAGGAAAGCTACTGCGATTACCAATGGCTTCCTAGTTGCCTGGGGTACCCTTAGTGGGAGGCAGAGGGTGGGAAAAGGAGGGTTAAGGACACTCCAATCCTCCATTGCCAAAAGGACACCTAAATAGGGAGAAGCCAGGTCACTTCCTGTGGCCCAGTAAGCCACGGTGACAGACACGGGGCCTGAGGTCTCCTTGGTTTCTGCCCTGCCTACAACTTGCCCTTTTCTCTGCCACAAATACGACAGAACTCAGCCCCAGAGGAAGCCCATGCTGGTCTGATCCCTGAAAATGCGATGAGGGGTTTGGAGAAATCCTTCCTCAAGGAGGAAGATATCCCTTGGGGTTGTCATGGAAGCCCATGGGAGAGGGGGCTGAAGAGCCTAGTGCTCCTTTACTTAATACGTCAGACTAAGGAAGTTCTGGAACCGGCACTGGCTTACAAATATGTCCACAAGCTCTTTGACAGTCCTCTCAGGAGGTGGAGTCTAATTCCTTTCCCCTGAGTGTGGGCCAGATTTTGTGCTTGCTTCTAACAAATGGAATGTGGTGGAGGTGACCGCGTGTGTTCTCCTGAGACTAGGCGGGAAAAGGCATGATGGCTTCCTCTTTGTTCTCTCCCTCATATCATTCCGTCTGGGGAAATCCGTTACCATGTTGTGTGGACCCTCAAGCAGCCCAATGCAGAAGCCTACGTGGAAGGGAACTGAGGCCTCCTGGCCCGTGAGTGCGCCATCTTGGAAGTGGATCCTTCAGCTCCCGTGAAAGCTTCAGGTGAGCACAGCTCTGCCTGACATCTTGACTGCAGCCTCAGGAGAGACTCTGAGCCAGACCCACCCACCTATGCTTCTTCCAAATCACTAACCCACAAACACGGAGATGATAGATATTTGTCGTTGCCCGGGCAGTTTATTGTGTAGCAATGGGTCACTAGTATACCACCCAGCTTACTCCCAGACCCAGCTAGCAGCGGGAGGGGCTGGGATCAGACCCGGGGGGCGGGTAACAGGAAGAACATACTTGACAGTCTCATCCTCTCCACAGAAACAGAGGGGCAGGGAAGCAGGAGAGGTTGTCTGAATCTAGGAGTCCCAGCTTCCCATCCTCAAAAGACACTCTGGCACTCCCCCTACCTCAGCCTTCTTCCCCGATTCACCCCCTCCCCCCGACCGGCTTTTTTGCTCCTCACTCACCAAGTACACCCTGGCAGATGTCTGTTGGACTGATCCCATTCATAATGAAATGAGGATTGCTTGTGATTTCCTGCAGTAAAGGAATAAAGGTCTTAGAGGGTCCAGGACGTGCCCCGCCCCCCTCCCCGGAACCTCCATCTCGCCATTCCCGGGGCATGATGCCCACCTCCAAGTTCTAGGGGAAAACAGGGTGCAGGAGGGCACAAGACCAGTTTGACGTAGTTGTCGGATGTGATAGCAAAGGTCAGTGAGTGACTTTCCCAGGGGTTATCTGAGAGGTTTTGCTTAAGCATGTCCAGAACTGTCTCCAGCCCTGACGGAGGTGGAGACTAGTCCCAGGGCCAGGATTGGGGAGGTTGGGAGATTGGAAATTTCAAAGCGACTGGGACATTGTTACAAACAGCCCTCCACCCCGAAGATGAGTCCATGCCTTCCCTCCCAGTACCTACACTGGGCCTCTGCCAGGAGATGTTCTGCACGCTTTTGGAGTTGGGACCCAGATCCTTGAAGCCCAGGGACCTGGGTTCGGCAGGGAAAAAGGAGTCCTCGAACAGCTCCCCCTTCCTCAGACAGGTTGCTTGCAGGTCCTCAAAGCTCTGGTTATGGAAGTTCTGGGCGTTGTGGTGTTGGCCCATGCCCTTGGCTTTGAGTCGGCAGTGGGTGATGTGAGCCGCCATTCCCTGATTGGTGAAAACCGCCTCCGCTTAATAATGAAAAGACAAACAACCCAATTAAAAAATGGACAAGGGATCTGGATTTCTTTTTGAAGATATGACCAACACTCATATGAAAAATTGCTCAACACCACTGGTCGTCAATGACAAATGCAAATCAAGGCCACAGTGATACACCCCTTCGCACCAGCTAGGATGGCTATAATAAAGAAGACCGATAATAACAAGTGTCGGCAAAGATGTGGAGAAGTTGGAACCTTCATACTTTGCTGGTGGAAATTTGAAAGGGTGCTGCCACTTTGGAAAATGGCCTGGCTCTCCCTCTAACAGTTAAACATAGAGTTATTACCGTATGGCCCAGCAGTTCCACATCTAGGCCTATACCTGAGAGAAAGGAAGATATATGTCCGTACAAAAAGTTGGACACAAATGTTCATTGCATTATTCACAATAGCCAACAAGTGGGAGGAGACCCCAAATGTCCAGCAGCTGATCAATGGGCACAAAAAATGAGAAACAGACATCCAACGGAATATCATTCGTACAAGGATATCATTCGAAAAGAAATGAAGTTCTCATCCATGCTACGACGTGGATGTAGGAGAAAGAAGGCAGTCACAAAGGGACACCTATTGTATGATTGATTTATATAAAATGCCCCAAATAGGCCAATCTACATAGAGATAGAGAGTAGTAGAAGGATGTGGTCTGAGTCAAACAGAGCCCAGTTGGTGCCAGGGCAGGGGAGGAATGCATAGTGAGGAAAAGAACGGGCAGCTACAGGGAAGGGCAGGAGGGTTCTGGGGTGTCTAGAGGTGAGACCCAGATTGAGCACACAGAGGGCTGAGTTGCACAGAGGCAAGAGCAGGGGGTCTTAGCTATTCGTCCTCCCTTGTTGACAGACAAGGAGAAGAGTTACAATTGCAGAGCTAACAGTGCCGAGTGCCTGCTCTGTGCCAGGCACACCAGCCCTGAGAAAGATCCATGCAGTACCCTCAATTACTGGAAGAGGAAGCAGGGACCTGGAGGTCAAGGAATTTGCCCAAGGTCACGGGGTGAGGGCTGGGCATGGGTCTAAGTCTGACTGCAGATCCCAAACGAGGCCCGTGATCTTTTCCTTTTTTTTTTTTTTAGTAAAAAATCTTTTTTTAACGTTTATATATTTTTGAGAGAGAGAGAGAGACAGAGCCCAAGTAGGAGAGGGGCAGAGAGAGACAGAGGCACAGAATCCAAAGCAGGCTCCAAGCTCTGAGCTGAGCTTGAATCCATGAGCTGTGAGATCATGACCTGAACCAAAGTCAGATGCTTAACTGACTAAGCCACCCAGGCGCCCTGACCCATGACCATGACCTTTTCCTGATGCTACCTCCTAGAGAGAGGCGCCTCTCCTCAGAGGGAAGTCCTGTGGAATTAGCACCATCTTCCCATCTTCACCAACTAAGGGGATCACGGGCCACTTGTGGCTAAATTTATCTGAGGCCTCTTTACTCTTCAAGCTACCCCAACCAAGCCAACCCATTCCCCTGTCCCACATCAGTGTCTCCTTGGGACTTCTCTAGGTCCGGTAACGCTCCTGTTGTCTCCCCCTGGAGCCTGACAAACCCAAACCAGGCTGCCACCTAGAGGCCCAGAGCCTTCCTGCACAGGCAGCCCCTGTTTCTCAGCTGTACCAGATCGTTCTTGCCTCTGTGCCTCTGCCCGGGGTCATTCCTGATCCCACGCACACACCTGGTCCACTGGAGACAGTCCTGCTCAGTCTTCCAGTCCCTGCTCAATGCCATCTCCTTGGGGAAGCCCTCCCCTAACGTGCCCAGGCAGAGTGTGGGGCCGCCGTCACGTCTAACACTTTCCTTTGTTGTGACACCCGTCACTGCCTGCCTGCTGAGTTGACTTGTCTGTGAGCTCTCAAGGGTGGACATGGGGGCTCCTCTGTCCACTATTAGGTTCCATCTGTCTCTTGGGGCGCCTGCATGGCTCAGGCAGGTAAGCATCCGACTCTTGACATCGTCTCAGGTCAAGAGGGTTCGAGCCCCATGCTGGGCTCTATGCTGGAGCCTACTTGGGATTCTTTCTCTCCCTCTCTCTCTGCCTCTCTGCCCGCCCCCCTGCACTCACTCTCTCTCCTCTCTCAAACTAAGTGAATAAACTTAAAAAATAAAATACAATGAACTCCATCTGTCTCATAGAGCACCTGGCCCCAGCAGGGGCTCAGAAATGCTTTCAGTGGATGAATGAATGAATGAATGAATGAATGCCTTGCATTGCACTGTAGTGATTTTTCATCTATGTTTGCAAATCTCTGTTTTCTCTCTCCTGCCCTGACCCCCAGCTGCCTGTCCCTCTTTGGTCCCTGATATACTATACACTTTATTTATTATTTGTCTCCCTCACTAGAATGAAAGCTTAGGAGAGCAGGGGTTTTTGTCGTTTGTTTGCTGCTGCATTGGCACATAGTAGGTGCTCGATAGATGTTTTGAATGATGTTCCCCAGTGCTCCTAGGAGGGAGGAGCATCTTAGTTTCTCTCTGTGAAGGGATAGATGGTCATGTGGCTCGTCCCTGGGACCCTCCACTCCATTAGGGAGAATCCCCCCAAAGAACTGACCCCAGAGCAGGTGCCTGGTAAATGGAGGGACCTGCAGACTCCCACCCACCACTGCCACAGGCCATGCCTGGGCTGGGGACAAAAAAGAGCTCACCCCAGCCTAGGGAAGACAGAGCATTGGTGCAGGCGATGAGCAAAGTCCTTGACCACAGCATAAAGGCTTCTCTGGGGTCCCCCTTTGGGGTCCCTGGGGCCTGGAGTTTCCTGGCCCCCACTGAGAAAAGTCCATTGGCTCTAAGGATTAGAATGAGTTTGCTGAATAGAGACTTGGGACCCTGTCTTTTGCCTCTTCCACAGAGCCTATGGTTTGTGACGAGAAGATACTAGGATTCTCCCCCAGGTGTAAAAGTAACTAGCACCAGGGCGCCTGGGTGGCTCAGTTGGCTGAGCGTCCGACTCTTGATATCGGCTTGGGTCTTGATCTCGGGGTCGTGAGTTCAAGCCCCGCACTGGGCCCCAGAGCCTGCTTAAAAACAAAAAAAGTAACTAGCACTTACAGAGCAGTTATAAAAATAATAGTTAACAGTGTTTGAGGACTCAGTGTGTACCTGGCATGGTTCTAAATGCTTTACCTGCATTACTTCAAGGAATCCTCACAACGCTGTTGGCTGGGTTTATTATTATTATGTCTCCCTGCTACAGGGGGGAGAACCAAGGCCCAGAGAGGTTGAACTTCCTCAAGGCTGGATACCTGGTGGGCAGCAGAGTCAGTGAGGGTCACACTTAGGCAGGCTGGTCCATGCTCCTACCCATCACTCGCGGCTTAGGCTTCCTCCACTTTCCTACAGCCTCTAGGCGGTCTTTGCGAAGTCACCTCCCTTTAGGCAGCTGATTCCTCTTTTGCAGCCCTGGGCTGCCCCATACCAGAGTGGATAGCTGTGTGACCTCGGGCACGCTGCTTTATGTCTCTGAGCCTTGGTTTTCTCATCTCTCTAAAGAGGCCGTCACATCCTACCTTGTAGGGTGTTTCAGGATTAAATGGTGCAACAGACATGAAAAAGGCTGGCGTTCACGAGGCGCTCAGAAATTGTGGGTTGCCTTCTCGCTGACCCGGCTGGGTAGCTAGTATTTATGGAGTTCCTCCTGGGATCATATAGCACCCCTCCTCCCTCCCAGGACTCAGTGATCATAAAGATGCAGGAACACTTGTACTCTACATGTTGGGATCTTCTGTGAGCCTGTCTGTCTCTGCTGCTCCGTTTGCGCTCCTTGAAGCAAACTGTAGCTCGTCTCAGCCACATCTTTGGAGCATGTATTCTGTGCCGGGCACCGAGGAGTCAGAAGCGAACCCACCCCTGCATGGAGCTCTGAGAGGACCCTTCTCCGACTATCCTCCTTCAGGTTCAGCTTCATGGGCCACAGAGGCAGGGAGAAGGTGCCAGGGAGAGAGGCCACCAGGTTGGGTGGGATAATTGGGAGGTTCTTGGGGAGAGTGACTGCCCCCTTTTCCCTCCTCTAAGTTCACTCCACTCCCCTAAGGTAGGGGTGTGTTGGGGACGCAGGGGAAGAAGTGGCTAATTTCTTTGCTCAAAGAGCAGGGGAAAGACTTAGAGGGAGGCCTGTGGTGGGGGGACAAATCTTGGGGGGTGAAGAAGGGGTCCAGATGAAGAGGGTCCAAAGAGGCAGGCGGCAGAACATCCCTGAGGGGGACCCTCAAGGGGACCCGCCCCTTCCCTGGGGGAGGCCCTGGTCCGCAGAAGTACAGGAATGGTACGAGCCCATCAGCGCCTACCTGGGGAGTACAGCATGCTGGTGGCTAGCGTGATGCTTGACAGTTGAAGGTTCTAGGTGGGGAGGGGGAGGGGGAGGGGAGGGGAACCCCACCCCCACCCAGAACTCTTCCAATTGCAGTGGGAGTCCCAGGGCAGTGGCATCCCTGAGGACTGGTTTTGTCTCACCACCTGGCCCTTACCCAGTGTCGTCAGCAGGGCAGGAACGACTAGGCCCATCTGAGCTACATCTAACTTAAAGCCTGCCTGGAGGCCTTAGGGCAGTGGTCCTCAACCTGCGAGATAGTGCCCCAGGGACCACTTAGCAATGTCTAGAGACATTTTTGGCTGTCATAACTGGGGACCAGGTGGGTGCTACTGGCATCCAGAGGGGAGAGGCCGGCGATGCTGCTAAGCGTCCTGTAGTGCTCAGGGTGAGAGACTGGGGGTGAGCGAATGGCCTGAGGTCATTCAGACAGTGAGGTGAACCGCTCTGTGCCCTTCCACTACGAGGTCGCCTTAGGTCGACTCTGACTTGGCTGCCCCCTGGCAGTGAATGTACTGGGCTCCCCTGCGGGTCTAGAAGGACCACAGGAGGTGCTGGTGTCCAAGAACACTGGAGAACCCCAGGGGGCAGGCCAAGGCTGTGATCATGCCCTCCGATCATCACCCAGCCTGAGAAGTCACTTCCCACCATTC